AGTACTGAAAAATGACTGAAATTTTCAATACTGAAAAATGACAGAAATTGTCAGTACTGAAAACAACTTTTTCTCAGCATTACTGAAAACAAACATACAATTAATTGTACTGAACACATATGAGTAAGAAATGTACTGATTGATGACTTTTTATACCAGTACTGTATTTGTAGTGGCATTTAAATTACATGTAAATGCTGTATAAATTCCTGGTTGTGATATACATAAAATTGAATGCTCTTATTTTGTGAAAACTTCGGGTTCATATAAACAATAGTTGTTTCTACAATATTTCATGTGTGCGTCCATGTTTTGTTTTTATCATCATAAGCCTGTATGTTTTTAATATCTAATCTACTTTTCAAGAGTGATATTTAATCACGACAGACATTGTCATGGTTACCACTTATAATGTTGACCATGGAGACAATTTCCTATCTTGTCATAATTGCACTCTCTTGAATTCTATCTATTAGCGTATGATATATTCAATACATGGAGTTCAATACACAACTTGCATATTATATAATTTCAGAAGGAAAATGTTTGATATCTATGAATAAAATAATTTCAAGTAAACGCTGTGAACAGAAATGAAGTAGTGTTCATTTCCTTAATAATTTTTTGTCAAATCAATGCTTGAAATGGTTTGTTTCACGAAATAATACATATTTATTGATGCATGTCATCAGCGATGGTTTCAAGATACCGATTCATTTTACCACTGAGGTGCAATTTTAAATATTGAAGAGCCTTTTTGATTATCGTATACTTTGGCCGAAAATTTCAACATGTTTTAATACAATCAAATATAATCTGCAGCTAAATGTTGAAGTCATTTTGATACAACATTATCAATTGTACATATGTTTGAAAATTCATCGAACGACATCACAAATCACAATAAACTATTATGTACCAGATATATAATATACAACTTTAGTTCAAACATAATTTTGGTCTTTCTTATTAATATCTTTCCTATATATCTTTAGATAAATACTCATAAATTGCCAAATTCTGTCAAACTTTCGGTTTTTGGTTATCGCCAGGCTTTTATAACGTGGACAACTGTTACAAATTACGTAGAGATTGACATACTTTTTGAAATGGTCCTTATCAATTCAGGTGATATTGGCACTACCTGTGTGATCTTAAAGTAAAATATATCTTTAATATGAATTCGCATGTACAAACGCATGAGTCACGCAATAGACACACGGTCTTCAAAAATAGAGAGGTGTCTATGCTATATACGTCAAGATCAAGAATGTCTTCAGCATTAAAATACATATAAGGTTTGGCTCCTTTCTCCTCTCCTTATTCACATGTTACCACTCACCCTTTGTAAAGCATGGTGCAATACAATTTGAACCGTTTATGTTGTTAATTCAAAAGTTCCCGGGTCCACTACTGATAAAGCTTAGCGAACCAAAATAGGCTTCTGCGAGTTATATTTTCCGTTAGAACAATTTATCTAGTCAATTTAAACAATAGCTGTCTTAAACGTTGCATAGAAAACGTGAGGATTATAATGTATGCATTAGTTGGATCATGGCATGATTAGGAAAATGAAAATAGATGAGGTCTTGCTTTTTAAATTTGAACTATTCATCAACGAACAAAGACAAAAATAATTGCTTACATCCAATTCATTTAAACTTTGGTGGAGAGTTGTCTCAATTGCAATCATACCACATCTCCTTATTTTTGAATGTATTTTTAAAATATTGAAAATAAGAAAAGTGTACGATGTGATTTTCCTTAAGTCAAAGGGACAACCACTGCGTACGAGTACAAAATCATAGTCTCCAGAATGAGAACATTCATTGAATGCAGAATCCAGCCTTCAGAAAACACATTTCACCTATCCAGTTGTCCTTTTCGATCCTCTGTGCTAACATAACCTACTCACTTGATCATTTGCTAAATATGTTATCCTCTTAAATGTGGCTGAAATGTTTTATCACTCGAAGTACGAAGCAACTGCAAGATAATTCCAGCAGTCGATAGATGAATGAAAATCTATATTATTTATTCGCCAGCCATAAGATCTATGGACGATCCAAATTAACAGTACGTCAGTATTTAGTGTAGTAGATACTTAACAAGCAGTTATCGATTAAGCTAGGGATTCGAAGTACTTCTTTATCGGTTCGGGTGCTGACTTGTAACTTAGAGGTTCCAGAGGAGTCAATGTGATTTTCTAGTGAAAGTCATGCTCTCCGTTTACAACAGTAGTACATCAACGATCATGACAGCACGTGTACTCGTGCGAATTGGGGTTAACAGTGTGTAAGTGGGTAGCTGTGTCAAGTATAATGGAATTATTGTAAACAGTTCTCAATCACAAAACATAATTCCCGTTATATCTAACGTATTTGAAAAACATGTTGCCAATCATTTTTATCTTTATCTGTCAAAATATAAACTATTACACGAGGCAAAATCCGGATTAAGACCAATCCACTCATTCCAAACAGCCCTTACCAAATTGATAGATAACTGGCTTTAATATATTGATGACGGCAATTTTGTAGGAACAGTTTTTCTAGATCCGAAACAAGCATTTGATCTTGTTGATCACCTCATTCTCTGCCAACCATTACATTAATACAAAATCTCAGATCATTCAGTGAAATGTTTCAAGTCATACCTCTCTAATAGAACACAAAAAGTGTGTTCAGTTAATACAGCTTCAGATTTCTCATCATATTAAAATGGGGTTCCTCAAGGATCCCTTACTGTTTGTTTTATTCATAAATGATATGACTTTAGAGGCATTAAATTCAATCATTGACATGTATTGAGATGATGCAACACTTCATACCCATGATATGAATAAGGGAGAGACAGAGAGAAAACTAAACCATGATGCCAACCCTATAAATAAATGGTGTTTAAACTACAAAATGGTAATAAATCCTTTTAAAACAACTTCTATGCTGGTTGCCACGAATTTGATAGGTCATAAACTAATATCAATACAAAATAGCAATAACATCTATTGAAACACAAAAGCTTATTGGTATATGCATTTGACAAAAAATTAGACTGGAAATTTCAAATTGATCATGTATTTAAAAGCATAAGTTCTCGTATTGCACTGTTACTAGTATCCAGAATTAAGAAATATCTACATATTAGTAGTAGACAATTATTCTATAATGCTTATATTCTGCCATTATTTGTTTTGTGTTGCTCAATATGGGGAAATTGTAATGCAGATGGAATTCCTACTGTAAATTTGTTTAAAGAACTAAAATGAATAAATCCAGGATGTATTTCTTACCATAAATTGATTCTTGTTCATTAAATTCTCAAAAATAAAGCACCTAATTAACTTAAAGAACTATGTTGTCCAATTATAAACCTACACAGCAGAAATTTAAGATCTTCTACAAACAATAATCTAGCGGTAGTGAGGCCTAACACAAATTCGATTAAAACATCATTTACATATAGCTCCTTTTTAGTTTACTATAAATGATATGTAACAACTCTCTAACTCTTTCATGTCTTTTTAACGTTTTTGTATAATGTATTGTTTTGTTTTGTTTTTCTTGTTCTACAGACAATCATTTACCATGAAAGTTTAATTATTTGTTCAAAAATTGTAATATCTGTAATACTTCTTCATGTTCTACAGTATGTTTTTTGTGAGGGCCTCAAGATAGATTAGTAAATGCTAATTGAGTCATTCTCTTTAAATAAAGTCATCCCCTTTAAATAAAGTCATTATTATTTACTGTTATTATTATTATTATTATTATTATTATTATTATTATTATTATTATTATTACACCTGGAATGAACACAAATGCAATACTTTGCTAAAACCTTACGTTACTAGAACTTTTTTTTTATTTCTTCTTCTTCAATCTATTTGAAATTAAATCCTTGAATTACTCCCGTTCTAATATGTCGCGCATCAAGGATCTAACGAAACCCGATAGAGAGGTCAAATTTTGTGACATAGTTTCATGAACTTTTTATTTGAATAACATTAATTTTTCGTCCAATCAGAATTGATCTCTTAAACGCATTGATGCGCGACATATCAGAAAGGGAGCAATTCAAGGATTTAATTTTAATTATAATGTTTTTTCTCAAAATTTAATTGACATTTACACTGGTTTTTTTTCACGCTAAAAACTTGTACAACTACCATGTTTTGCATTTAGATAAAGAAAAAGAAAAAACTTAAATTTATTCGCTGTGATAAAGGTTAAAGGATAATCACTTGCCTGAAATAATAATCTTATAATACTCCTCACAGATTATTTCACACCACAAAGCAGGAATGTACATAACTATATAAAATACATCGTTTTTTAAATGTTTTTGTTGATACACGATATTTTATTAGTCCAATCATGTTACCCTATGCTGGTCAGAGTAAATGTATTAATTAGGAAATATGGGATATTTAACATAACAGCAGTATAATATAGTTAGATCAGTTTGAATAAATGACCTTTTGAAAATAGCCTACTTGGTACATATTAATGGTCCAGAGAAATAAAAAGTCATTCTTAAAATGAAATACACTGAAACATTTTTGACGAAAAATTCATATAGTATTATAGATAGAGGCTGCTGGGAGTCTGAACCACTCGAAAGATGTATTTTGCCATGATATGAAATTTATGATTCTTTATTAAAACCAAAGAAATAAAAAAACAGAAACTTCCATCTAAGGAATATTTCTGCATAACTTGGGTTAAATTCCTTTCATCTATTCTTAAATAGAAATCAAAGCAGTATTTTCCATAGCGTTTCAATGTAAACTTTGATCTCTGCTGACAGCCTTTTGCATTTTTGAAGTAAGCAACACTTGTTATTGTCCATCACATGATCCCAGTTTGTGCCATTAAAATCTAGTCAAAATTTAGGAATGGTTAACATTTAAAGATACTAAGACATTGTAATATTACAAGTTAAAGTTGATGGCTCATTCTACATTTTTTTTCAACAACTTTTTAGTTGAAACTACTTACTAATCTCATGTCCTTGGCAACTAATGTGTTCGTCCCTGCTTTCAGTACTCAGCATTCTCTTGACAAGCTCTTGAATACAACTATTGTTTGGTTCAGATTCCTGTAAGACATCCTTGAATAAATGGAAGGTAGGATATGGTCGGTCAGTTAAGATATCCAGTAGAACCTTGTTACGTTCACGTTGTGTGGTTGGTTTGATAATTTCTTCTCTGTCCTCTATCATTAATATACATCTGGAAATCAGGTTATCTAAAACCATCTTGTCAAGTACTGTGTTATCTAATAAATCATCATAGTAACCAGTAAGTCCATGATGTCCATGATGTCCATGATCTGAAATTATTAAATCTTATGTTTTAGAATTATTTCAGAAATATACCCACGGAATCCCCTGCAAGTAAGTTGAATTACTATGTCTGTCTTTTATTTGCAATACTCTATTTCACAACCAAAAATAACTAAATTTAAGGGAATGTAATTGACAGTTGACATGTACAAATGTAATTTGTTCTATTTATTACAAACTGAATCACTTTTAACTGCCTACCCGACCTCACATGAGAGTGAAAAAAATTGAAAGGTTGTTAATTCACCAGTTCTTACATAAACTGTTTGTTATTTGTACGTAACAGTAATTGTACGTTAATCAGATTTTATTTCATTTATGTTTTGGTTGCATTTTGATTAAAAACTTTTCGTTTTTCTATCTATATTGATAAAATTGAGAATGGAAATGAGGAATATGTCAAAGAGACAACAACCCGACCAAAGAGCAGACAACAGCTGAAGGCCATCAATGGGTCTTCAACGCAGCGAGAAAATCCCGCACCCAGCTAGCTGTGTTGAAGACCCATTGGTGGCCTTCGGCTGTTTTCTGTTTTTTGGTCGGGTTGTTGTCTCTTTGACTCATTTCCCGTTTCCATCCTCAATTTCATTTGTGTTAATAGAAATATTGTTAATTAAAGGTTGACATACCACTTCTGAATCAACACCTATTTCATATAATAGACTTGACGTATAATATAATGTATTCTGTACATGGAATACCTCCTTATTACCGAACTGTAAATTCAACCTGTTGAAAATATGCCAAATTTTGACACGCCATTGAAAGACAATTTGTTATGCTATTTATCGAATATAAGCCCCTACCATTCAACGTTTTTGTTTGTATGAGTGGGGAAGAGAAGTAAATTGTTTGATTATGAATGTTTTTAAAAAAACTTATTTCATAAGAGATACAAAATAGTTTCCATTGAAAATAAGGAAAAACAAGAAAGATGAATGGTGCCTTAATGAAAGTACAATTACTTTTAAATACCGAAGTATCTTTTCCAATAGAAGGAAGTTGTAAAAAGTAAAATAACAAAAATACTGAACTCCAAGGAAAATTAAAAAAAAAGTCCCATATCAATTGGGAAAACAAATAAAACACATCAAACTAATTGAAAACAGCTGTCTTATATACATATATGGAGTTGTTTTCTTTCAGAACGATAGGTCATTCTTTCGAATAATCAACCCGGACGATACCATGTTTCAATGAAATATACTTCAATGGATAAAATAATGAACCTGTGTGAGGTCCTCATTTTCCTTGATAAAAATGCAAACTATAATTTACTTCAACATTTAATTTGTTTGAAAGATTGTTGTTGCCAATTGAGGATTTTTTTTTTAAAGTTCCATCTTTGATAGGTTTAACAAAAAGTTGTCGTTGACGCACATTTAAGTTAGAAACAAATTATGTGAAGCTTTGTTAATTTATCGCTACAATAAAGGGACATTATCATGTATGTAAGATGAATTCTGATGTAAAACTTTTAATAACACATTTAAAAGAAGCCATGCAGATTTAACATATTTGTGTGTAGGATTTTGAAAATCTTATTGATTCACACTGAATGGGAAATCATATTGTGACCTACATTTATTGATATTCGTTTTCGTGTTACATGTACATGTATCACGATTTCGTGCTGTCTTCGTGTCAGTTCTTAACTTGTTACATCTATATATAAATATTTGTACTAGTTCAGTGAAAATAGACGTCACACTAAACTCCAAAACATATAAATGAACTAAAATTGAAAAAAAACATACAAGACTAACAAAGGCCAGAGGCTCCTCACTTGGAAAACAGGCGCAAAAATGCGGCGGGGTTAAACATGTTTTGTGAGATCTCAACCCTCCCCTTATACCTCTAGCCAAAGTAGAATAAAGAAACACATAGCAATACGCACAGTAAAACTCAGTTTAAAGGAAGTCCGAGTCCGATGTCAGAATAGGTAACAAAAGAAACTGAGCAAAATGACAATGATACATAAATGAACAAAGGACTACTAGCAGTTACTTACACGCCAGCTCGAGACCTCAATTAAAATGATTGAAAGATTATGTCTTCATCATATGAAAATCAAGTACAATTCCTTCCGTTAGGGGTTAAGTATCAGACCATCATAAAATATATGAGAAGAACATAACCCGTACCATGCCAACAACTGGTTTTAAAATAAATATTTTTATTTCCGATGCAAAGACCCTATGAGTGAATAAATATTAATACCAACATATGCAATCCTTAATGACTTGACAACAGTATCGTAACTATATCCTTTCCGAATAAGTCTGTTTAAAGGTTTGGTTAGCTTTTGAGGTGAATGCCGACATTTTTGTGCTTTGTAAAGAATATTACCATAAAATATTGGATGTGAAATACCTGAACGTATAAGATGTCTGCATGTTGATTTATATTTACGATAACATTTTTATCAGTAGTAGTCAGCACTTTTGTGTTGGCATGAAATATAATTGATACATACCTTCTTTGTAAATGTACTGTTTACAAAATTGAGAACTATTTAAAACACTAAGCTTTTCCTACGCCAAGTAATACATTGCCTTAGCCGAATTCCGCACAACTTTTTGTACTTTTCGGGTTTAAATTTTCCTCAACTTCGATTTGGTCTTCCAACTATTTTGAATCAAGGGCCACTGATGAGTTTTATGTAGACAAAACACGCAGTCATAAAATTCAAGAGGAACGTTCTCAGACTCAGAATTCAACCAATCCTAATACTGGATTTAGCGTTTCTGTGCTCCAAGCACTGAGTTTTATGACCGTAGTAGGCCCGGAGTTTCACATTATAAGCCTGATATCTTTGATTTGTTTTACAACCAATGTGTCGAAACAACTGCTGGTGGACGTTTCTCTCCGATCACTTATGTATGACATATCATTATATGCAAAAAAAATTCTAAAAATTGAGTTATAAGATGTTGAATTATTCAAAATGCTTGGGAATTTCCGGTCTTTAATTCTGTTCAACTTTGTATTTGAGTTTACCTTCAAACTGTTTTGATTAAGGAGCCACTGACAAGTTTTATATAAACGAAACTTACTTCTGCCGTACCAAACTATAAGCCTGATATCTTCGATAAGTTTTTACAATTTTAGAAAAAAAGAAATGCATGCTGAAATAAATATGGATCCCATAGTTTCTACAATTGCATAAAAAATAGAATGTCAGATCACATTTGTATGCCATTCATCATAAATTAAACTAGTCTGAAAGTAAGTATAATTTGTCTTTTTAACATGCAGAGATCACGTTTTATTTGTGTGGGGTCGCTCAACTTTAGACAAAATATACGTTCAAGGGTCACCATATATCTATATCCCAGACAACCAGAGTTTTGAAGAAACAAATTACCGTTACATTGAACCACAATGCACTGAAAATCAAAATTCAAGTAGTACATTCCAACGTGTAATGCATGGAAAAACATCTGAAATGAATATTACCTTTGACTACACTTTGTGTGTATTTTTGTGTGGTGTCTTCTTTCGTATGGTATTTTTTCTTCTCGGATTTCTAAAAAAAGTGGTTGTATCAATTATTTTCACTTGAATAATTACTATTAATTTCATCTTGCCGCATCGGATAGATAAAAAATTACAGTGTTGTCATTTGAAAGGAACTAACCGTGTGTAAACAGAACAAGAATAGGCGTCCACAAGACACCATACCCTGCGCAGACTATATTAGTTCCATGTTTAGTAAACCGTGAAATATTGGTCAAAATCGGAATAGGGCATACATACAAAAGAGTTTACAACTGACCATTTGTACACAGTTTCAAATTAATGTGAGCACAAGCTATCCTAAACAGATATTCAATCTATACCGCCTCATATCTATATATCATCTGACATCAGGATATAATTAGTTTTTGCACATCGACATTATATGTTCAATCAACAGGATTCGAACTCTAGGTATCAATTAATACATTAATGACAAAACTGCATACAGTGTTTCATGCATCTTAAAATATTCAACCAACTAGACTTTTCTAAACAATACTACTCCTCCTGAGATGTTTAGAAGAGTTTTATTGAAAATATTGAAAAGGTATGTAAACAATCTTTAACCTGTACGGTCACACACTATTGCCTATTGAATTATTCAAGTTATACAGTTAGCTTATTCTAATAGAGAACACTGGGGCAATGCAGAGGAATATGACCTACATTGGCATTGTATAAATTTTTCAGATGTAAGTTAGTACTAAAATTCAGAATAAAATAATACCAATCTAAAAACAATTATATTGCGTACAAAAATAAAAGAGCAAATGCTTATAGACGATTCACCCCACTACATAAAATATTTTCGTGATTTATTATCATTTATATTTTAAATTATACTGCAGTAAGCAGTTGATATATGTATTTAACCTTAAGCATAGACATGCATGCATAATAAAGGTAAGATTTAAGTGACTGTGTGTTAAAAGATAGTACAATTGTGAGCGTGAGAAGCCTTTTTTCAGTAACTATATTCTTATATGATAAATACGCAATTAGAAAAACAAAATGGATAGTCTTGTACATATCATTCAATGTTTACCTCAAAAATTATAGTAAGGTGTTGAGTTTCAGGGTACTGTAAATCCTGACTCTTGAAAACAAATAAGAGATTTGAAATAACGTTTGTATTGCCGATAAGCATTTTTTTCGGCAATACATTATCCGTTTATATTTTGATACGATTTAAAATGGAACTTTTGATATTTCATAAATAAAAAATATAAGCCTTACATAACTTGTAAGTTCTTCTTTTTCTTTTGTCTTGATCTCTTGTGTGGATTTATTCAACTGTGGTACCTCGGTAGACTTCCCAGTCATTGGAAAGGACACTGTACCAGGCTTCAAGCTTCTTTGCGCTGGAGACGTTGTAGAATCATCAGATTTCTGTATGTAGCTAGGCACATGCTTATCCTTTCCTGAAAATGCAAATTAAAATGTCAAATTGAAACATAAGTGACGCTTTGTTATAATGATAAATATGCCTTTTTGCAAGCCCTTTGAAAGCTAAATTACTTGTAAATAGGATATGGATTGGGTATTACAATGAATACAGATTTGACCGCAAAATCAGTTTGTTTCTTGATATAAAATAGCTATGAAATAATAATTCATGGTTCACTAAGCAACCTCATATTTGTGCAGGGAGTTTACACAGTGTTAATTCAATTGTAACTGCCTTGAAGGGGCATTAGCTTCGGGTTATATGACCGTCAACAGTCTGCATTGGTCATCTCGATGGTTAATTAGAGGGCGTCTAGACAAAAATACACACGAAAACTGATACATATTATCGAGTCTATGCATCGTACCTTGTTTATTTTAAACATATAATAATTTTATATACGTTATAGCATGTTATAAATCAAGTATGAAAATTTGAGTAAAAATAGGTGGTCATGAATTTTACAGCTATTGTCCTTTTAAAGCGATATAAACAATTGTCTTATATCAAAATCCTTTTACAATAAGACAAACGACCCGTGGTACAGTAAACATGCTTTACCATTTATGGACGCAAATGTCATTTAGGAGGATGTAACTAAAATGTCTTGATTCATTTAGTGTAATAGTAACCTTGCTTTGACAATTTTCCACAAGGAAAGGAGAGGGGCGTTATGAGTTGTGTCCCTAAAAAGGAAAACACCGAAATAGGCAAGTATTACATGTTTTTTTTAATTTATATTTAGTTACGGAATACCAGTACTGTACTTGAAGTATTGCCACAATCAAATTCGCGGTGTACGACTACAAATCTGTAAATACAGTACTGTTATTCCTTTTCTAAAGCCTTTCTATTATATGTTCAATATAAAACATCTGAAATATTAGGGATGTATTTATTATATCTTGCAATGTTGTTGCCAATGTCCCAAACTGTCCCCCCGTGAAATTACGGCAAGCGTTATTCAACCACTAGTGTTATAACCTGTCATATAACATTTGCTTTCAATAATGACAATACAAAAGCATTGACAAAGCAATAAGCTGAATTAATTGCATTGTGAAAAAAGCGTCATTCATGGATTTGTTATGATGCTGCAAACATCCATCAATGGTTTCACTATAAAAATGTAATCTTTTTTTTTTATTTCTGTAACGTTGAACCTTCAGAAACCAAAATATTTGCAGACTGCCTTTTTTCCAGGGGTTGTTATTTTTCCTATATTATTATGTACATGACAACAACAATTGTCGATCTTTAGTTCTTTAAGTTCAAGTGCAATAACTTTATGTTTTCAATTTAAATACCTTCTATTCACAGTTTTATTTTACATTTCATAACTCAATCTAACACGAAAAAACTTCAAACGATATTGTTCCGAGTGTCTAATCAACCAATCAGAAATAAATGAACGCTCGGGTAATCCAATTTACAAAAACAATATTTTATAAGGATGTGATCTTGACAAATTATAAGTCCTTCGTGGTCTAATTGAAATTCTGTTTAGCAACAATTCTGATGACTGACCTTGTTTGTATTGGAAACCTTAACTTCACCAAAAATGTATTTATACGACGGTACATTGACGGCTCATATGTATTTCTACCAAGATTGGTCCACAGTTAAAGAGGAATAAAAGAAATACTGTGATACTATTTACTCGTGTTTTGGCATACAATTCGGCATATTTTGTTAAAATTCAACCCGAGGGTGAAACATGTTACACCTAAGAACAAGTAATCAGTATGATGGAGTTCGTCATTTACAACATATTTGCTGAATTTCAAGGTAGAATTGCCAACCGATTGTCAGCATTCCTCTGGGAACAACTGTGCACCTCTCCTTGCTGATTGTTTTCTTATTTTCATATGAATCAGAGTTACTACAGACACTTTTTCAGAGAAGCTCGATACAGTTATATTCATGATTTTCGTTCCATTAACAAATCTTAATTTTCTTATTACAGTACAGTATTTTTAACAGCGCATTATACTGTATGAAAATAACCCAAAGAACTTTACAGCATACTATCAATTTACTTATTGGGTCCTATAAATATATCCAAATGAACTAGAGATGAAATAACCACAGATACAGCTTCGTATGCCTCAATAATAGATAGTTATTTCGAGTTTTACTGCAACGATCATATCAGCACCAAAATCTATGACAATCGAGACGATTTCAATTTTGGAATTATAGATTTTCCTCTCCTTAGCAGCATATTCCGATTTTCTCCCGCGTTTTGAGGAAAGAATTTATACTCATTCGATATTCAAAAGTTGTTGCTGCTACTCATATTTGTAAAACGTCAGCAGTGTCTGAGCAAAAACATGATGAGCCAGGTCTTTGTCAATTTACTACTCATCCTTTTTTCTCAAAAAGGTCATCGGAAAATACAAAAAATATATATGAATATTCAGTGTATACTTAACAAAAAATACTTGATGGTCTTTAGTTTGAAGCTGCTGACATTTTATATCATTTTACTAATAAGACAGTTTTCTCTTTATTTGTCTTTGTTCTATTATGTTTCCTTTTGTCGTATGACATTAAACTATTTCTGTTTGATTGTCTCAAAGAAGTTTTTCTATGTGGCTGTCCCTAACTTGTACACAGAATAATATAAGCATGTACTAGATTTTGTTTCATTTTGTGGAAGTTTTCACGGGTATTCCTAACTAAATTCTAGATGAAAAATAAAACTAGTTAAGGATGTGTTAGAATCCAGTAGCGTTTTTTTTCGAGTAGTTGTAGATTAACAAAGTGTGACCTGAACGACCACGATGACGCGACCGAGACCGACGCAAGACGAATAAGGTAATATATATGTGTCTTCCCGGCTAAACATTATCAGGTGTCACAATAAGTTAAGTTTTTTTATATGTCTTGTATTATGAATTTAATTACATTCTGTTTGGAGTATTACACCAATCACCACTTTCAAAAACTTGGTATTTCACCTTTAACGTTTAAGTAGTTTTTAATACTTTAATCATATTATCCAGTTTTACTATCATTATTACCACTAAATGAGAAAATAATTGATTCATAGATGTAAACCACGCTTATGGGAGTGAAAACAAAAATAACAGTATCATCAATAACATTAATAAAGATTATGATAACAGAAAAAAAATAATTTTATAATAAGTCTTTTGTAGACAAAACGCGCTTCTAGCGTACAAAATTAAAATCTTGGTATCTACATTAAGTTTATTATATGCGCTATTATAATCTGAACAGTAGCAGCAGTATTTATATAAATATATAATGATATCGTCATTTAATATATATGGTATAATGTTCTTTAACTTCCCAAATTAGTAGGGTTCTCTTTAAATGATTTTCATTTATCTCCCTTTGATTAGCAAATACATCTTAAGTTTAAATGTTGACAATATTGATATAGTCTGATATTGGGATATTTATTGAACGTTAAAGATAACCCTTCTAAATTGATTTTACTACACAAAAGCGTAGTTGCTTTCTAATGTTCGTTATCCCGGATAAAAATATTCTTTAGCCATATCCCGACAAGGTTAAATTAATGAAAGTTCTGAACAATTATAAACAAACACAATCGAATACAATATACATAGGAATGAAACGAATCACTTTTATTATTCAGAGTGTCATCTTCATTTACTTTTCAAAGTTTTAAATTACAATGATTTTTAGTTTTAGGTTTTAGAAATATACTATTAGAAAGAAACAAAAACCATTTTGTCCAAGTTGAAGCTGTGGTTTTTAATTCAAACACTGAGAAATAAACTGAGAGAGTAAGTGTACTGCTAATTGATAGCAATAGCACCTCTTCCCGAAGCCAGTTATAGGACATACTAATATATATTTGACAAGTCAATGTATTGGCAGTAGGGAGATTGTTTTATTTGTGTACGTTTGTTTTTCACAAAAGTTTTAAATGTGATTGCTCTCAATTCCAGTCCAAGTATGTTTTCTTAATCATAACTTATAAAACATTGAAAATAAACAGACGAATAATTACGATAATTTATGTACACATCGGTATAAAAAGGAAAAAAAAAAAACAGAATATATTGTTTCTTTCCAGCTCCACAATTTTCATTCACCAATTAAGCACCACCGTTTTAAATTCAAGAAAATTAACTTATGCATAATATTGCAAATACATAAACTAATGGTTTACCTGGATCTTTCGCCCATTGAAGAAGCGTGCTTTTGAACTGACGAACATGTATCGATTTCCTTGCCATTCCAACCTTCTCCATTACGTTTTTAAATTTCCCATCTTCTGCTTTAGATAACTGCAATACATCGCACTCACCTAAAACAAAGTTTAATAGACGTTTGTCGGTTTAGCATGCTCTAATTTTGCCAGTTAAATACATGTATTTTTTATATGCTTTTGAATGATGACATTTTTATTATTACAAACTAAACGGTACAACTTGTACTGCACCAGATGCTTATTTTGGTAATTAACCTTTCTACGGTGATGCTCTTGGAAACACTATTCGAAAATCTAAAAACAAAAATATAAACTTTAAAGATATGGTCAAACTAAAACAAAGATATGAAATAACACTGAATGCATTTTGAATATTGAAATTCCATTTATCCTATCAAATGTAAACTACACGTTGGTCCCTTTTTGCTTACTTTTTTTTATCAGTGTGTTGCTTAAGAAATAAGGTGCACAGAAAGAAAAAGATGAAAATATTTCATCTTCATGTTGCAACTTCCCAGATGCACCTGCATGTGAAGTATATATCTCATTGACAAGGATCTACAGCTAGTGTTTTGAATAATAACTTCAACCAAAGATCTACATCAAATCCTTTAATTGCATATACATTATTAAGATAGTATAAACATCGACACTGGCGAGATTACTGACATACGGAATGCACAATAGCATAACCACTTGTTTAACTAAAACAGTTTGTGATTGTTCCTAATTCTTCTAGTGGCAATTAGTGAAATAATGGAAGGATAAAAATACGTATCACATTCTTGTATCAGTAATCGGTTGAACAATTACCTTGTTCAGTTTACGGGTACATGAGACACAACACATATCATTCGAAAGTTGACTCTAGTGAAAAAGAAACTGTATAATGCCATAACATCATTTCCATAGTATTCAGTCAAGATAATGTTTCTTTTCATTTCTGAATATGTGTTGTGTTTCTTATATGATATAAATATGCTAATGTATGATTGTAGTTTCTTTTAGAACAGTCGATGGTATACCTAAAATACTGTATCCAGTTAACTTTTACCGAAACGTTAAGTAAACATAGCAATTCGAATGTTTATGAGTTTAATAATGCCGGTAAAGTAAGATACTTTTACTAATCCACTAATGAATGACACAATAACATCTCATCAGATGTTAACAATGGCCTCATGTCTGATGCCTCAAATGAACCAGCAATTCCTCACATATTTAAGCAACGGTTTTCCTCCCACCATCTTTTGTGAGTTTGTGTTGATTAATTTTTACAAATACCTTTCGTCGTTTCTCGTTTGGTGATCGAAGAAATACTTTCAGAAACTCAAACCGAAAATATTCTAAGAAAAAAGTACATTAGGTTTTTCAATATTCACCCCTTGAAAAGAAGCTTTATACGAAAACGTTCTAGTGACTATTTTCAATTCCGGTCACGTTATTCGGTATAAGGTAAAGAATGTTATTGATTTCTAGTCATCTACTTTTTGTCACCATAGGTGTGTGTAAGTTTTCATATTGATTCGAACATGATATTATATTTTGCATCTTACAAAACGACAGGTGACATATGTTGACCAGGAACTGAATATCCTTCCTGGCATCTTGAGGTCAACAAGGGTTTTGGTGGCTTTCATGTTGCTCAATGATCTTTAGTTTTCTATATAGCGTTAAGTGGAAGCATTTGTGTTTTTGTCGGTGTTTTGGGTTTTTTTTTTCTAAACATGGGGTGGCTAGTTTGTTTGGTTTCTTCTGCATCTTTTTCATAACAGCTCTTGTCTTTTTTAGCATTTAAAATTGAAATGCCCACAGAGGAGAAATATTGCAATAGAAACGCGATGGAATTTGTTCCTGGCTTTCGGATAATGATGTTTGAAAACATTAAATTGTAATAATACTTCATTGATCTGGTATAAGTACGAACTTCTAGTATGAAACCGTATAGGTCACGGTCGCCTTTTTGTGGTCTCCCATGAACAATTTAGATTAAGATAATAAAATTCAAAAACTGAAGGAAAAAAAACACACAGTATTAAAAAAGCAGCCAATAGGGAAAACTATAAAACAGCAAAGGGAAAAGAGAAAGGAGAGCATTCATGACACATTAAAAAGGATTAACAACCGCTCCAATGGTTGTTTAACCGTCTTAGCCAGTCCAAGGAATGTTGCAATGAAGACCTTTATGAATAAATTTATCATAGTTTCCAGGATTACAATTGTGTACGCTAGAAGCCATTACATCTCCATGACATTGATTGTATCATAGATACCAGGTTAACAATTGTGTACGCCAGACGCCATTACATCTACATGACATCGATTGTATCATAGATACCAGGATAACAATTGTGTATGCCAGACGCCATTACATCTACATGACATTGAGTGTATCATAGATACATATCAAAACTTTTCAGAATTAGTGTTACGTTCTTAGATTAAAATTGATGATTGTTTATTAAATCGTTTAATATCTGTTGCTTATGTTTTGAATTGCACCTCCTTATGCGAATTGAAATAGTATGCCTAAAATGTGTATAGCTATTATGTTCATGTGTAACTGAAAGAAAGTTATTATAAAAAAAACTTTTTTATTCAATATACTTACCATGTTTGATGAAGCTCTCATAATACTGGAGAAGGCTTGCTCTTTTTAGAACACAATGCAGCTGCCATTCTAACAAATTCTGTGGTTCGTTTGATGCCATACCCTGAAGAACACAGTAACAAACATATGCAAACACATAATATTCAAGTATCGTGTTTTTATAAAAGAAAATATAACAAGTGTCGTTAACTTCTTTGAATTGCATGTACATGATTGCTATTTAAAAGATAAACACTATAAACTTGCAAAAACTTGAAAAATTGCAAGAATGTTTTTGATATTATTTTTTTTTCTACAATTGTAATGCATAAACATCAAATTAAGACAGTTACAGTGATTAAAATATTTAGCTTAGGCAAATTTGTTTATTCGGTATTTTTATGATTTCAATTTTCATTATGTTGAAATGTTTAAATCACGTATATTGTGTATTCGATAAATGTAAAGCTGACATTTGATCAAACATAACAATCATTCTTTTGTGGTTTATCAAATGAAATAATTGTGTGGTGAACATTCTTTTCATAAAACGACATTTTAAATCGACGAGGATAATACTTCCGAAGTGATGAATAATATGTATGTTTTTTTTAAAATACAAAGCTAATCATCAAATTGCACTTGTTTTCGTATAATGTCACGGTATGTTAGTGTTAGTTATTAAGGATTGGGTCATTTTACTATAAATGGTTAAAGTAAAATGACACTTTACTATTCATTTTACTATTACTAGTTAAAAAACAAAATGTATCGACACATGGTAAAACAAAAGACAGAACTTAGTTATTTCAAGTCAGGTTTTTGCGTTACGTTTTGTTCTTTGTCCCCTCAGCTCTTAAATCAAGAGAGAGGTGAACGATACCAAAGGGATATGCAAACTGCAAGAGGAGATTTCCGACGATAAATGTATTATAAATGCTGGAGGCAAAAATATTTGGAAAAATCTTAACTTTTAATATCGTTAAAGAGCTTGTCAAAGAAAAACAACCTAAATTAGTGTCAAAAAGATGTTGTATGTTTGCAAAATGGGAAAACCCTGCCATAGAATATGAGGTTTGCATGAAGGAGATATATTCCTAAATTTGAAATGATTTCTGCAATGTTATAACAGGAACCTTCAATCAAACAAGATCCGTGGTATTTTCATGCCAGTATCGAGTTACTAACTACTGGGCTGTTAATACCAATGATACCTGAATAGTAGAGGTATCGACCAAGTAGTACTTATAACCTTAACATTACCAATTTTACTGCAGCAGTAAAACACTGGCAACACTCGGACGTCCAATAAGCTCTGCGGATGTATAGATATCATACACGTCGGGTGCAGTATAGACGTGTAGTCCGAGGATTCGTGTATAGTTATAACCAAGCTTTCTGCACCACGAACTCTTGAGGGTCGGTAGACAAAATTCTCACCCTATCAAAAATACCCTCATTTGCCAAGGACAGTCCATATTTTGACCTAATTTGCATAACTCACATGTAATATTAATCTTTTTTTTTTCATCCCAAATATGCGTGAAGCAATTGACGCTGGGTGTTTAACAAGCAACAATCAATAAATTTGATTATGATTTTTTTTTATTTTCTGCTTGTTCTTTCAATCAAATTAACAAACATTACAATCATGTGCATATCTTTAAATCCACCGTTTCATTATGAATACTCAAAGAAAAGCATACATACAAATTGTAGTGGTGCATGGACAGCAATATATATCATACGCAACAGGGTTTTCTAAAATGCAATATAAGTAGCACATTCCTGTTAACGAAGTCCTTATAGTGTGAATTTGCACGAGAGGAACTTATAATTTGAGATGATATATAAACGCCATAAAACGAGAGTCGGATAGCTGCTAAAAAGTGGTAAGATGATAATTGAAAAATAAAAATCATCAGGTATGTCGCTGGTTCTATTTTGAAGTCGTCCATCTTTGTCGATATCGAGAACGACAAGATTATTATAAGAAACTAGTTTTAATAGTTGTCTTAATCTAAGTTGCAAAAGCAAAAGCAATACTCATCGGAATACCGGCTATATATTATTTATTATATCAATCCACCAAACTCAACACATGTTGTCAATAAAAAAAACAGCACAAGCTAAGATTTTTCAGGATCTTAAACGATTCCCATTTTTGTACCAAGATAATAAAAGGACTAATAAGACGAGGTAATTTATGTTTCAGTTCAGATAGACACATCAAAAGTCTGACATTAATGTAAAATTAAAAAAGATTTTAATTGAAGATTTTAATATGGATCAATAGAATTTCGAAGACTGGACATCTGATTCACATCTCTGGTTAGTTATACCTTAACACAGTATTTCTGTAGGCAATAGTTTACTGTGGAAAGAATTGTGGACATATCTTAAGAAAGAGGTTAAGTCAAACATTTTGACGACCCGGCTATATATCGTTTTGAATTTTTGTGAAGATTGTGTAATCAGTATAAAATAGGAAAAAAAGATATGGGGTATCCATCCATGACAAAAAATCAGTACATGCACAGCAAAAAAGCACACACAAAAGGCAAAGGAACAGCGCTTTTATTGCTGTTCTTCATCTCAAAGTCACAGAGAGGCCTTCAACTGTAAGCAAAAAAAGTTTAAGATGGCCTCTAGCACCGGCTTGTGCGGAAGACTTTTTTCATCCTTATACCAGAGAGACGGATTAGGGATCTTCTAAAATCTCCTCTTTAATGAATAATGTAAGGCAATTTTGGGATACCTAATTTTTCGGTTAAAAGGTTTATATACCGGTTTCCTTTATTGGTAAAGATTTTCTGATTTCCACGAAAATAGGGTGCGATTTAATTTTTTTTAAATGTATATGGTATTGAATGACATTTAAGTCATTTCATTATTGTGTTTTATATTTACCTGTATTGTTAAATGAGGGACGAAAGATACCAGAGGGACAGCCAAACTCATAGATCGAAAACAAACTGACAACGCCATGGCCAAAAATAAAAAGACAAACAGACAAATAATAGTACAGATGTCACAACATAGAAAACTAAAGACTAAGCAACACGAACCCCACCAAAAACTGGTGATCTCAGGTGCTCCGGAAGGGTAAGCAGATCCTGCTCCACAAGTGGCACTCGTCGTGTTGCTTATGTTATTACAAATCCGGTAAATAGTCTAATTCGGTGAGTCACATTCGTGAAAAGGGAAGGGTATTGTAGTTACGACATAAAGAACATATCCGATATCATCTGTGAAACGGTAATTCCATAACGGTCAACCAACTCGTGATGGCGTCCGTAAAATTTACGAAGGGATGATTTCAATTTCACCATTTGGAACTCTTGGTTTAATAGCGTCCTTGTGAGCAGTAATCCTCTATCAAGGAAATCATGATAAGAAATACAAGCCCGGGAATATCGTATCAATTGGGAGATATATACTCCGTATGCAGGCGCTGCTTGAATTTTGCTACATAGACATGGAAAGTTCACAATTGGGAAGCTGAAATCATCTCTTTTGTCGTAAAGTTTTGTTTTCAACCGACCCTCATTGTCAATTTCTAGATGTAAATCAAGATATGAGGCAGACTTAACTGTATCTGTAGTATCCTTTATCTCTAGTTCGATGGGATAGATTCGCCTAACATAGTCACCAAATTTTGTATTATTTAGTGAGAGAACATCATCTTTATAGCGGAACGTAAAGTTAAGGTAGTTAAGGTAGTTGCATTATCTACGGTTCACTGGTATTTATGAGAGCCAAGCAATCACTGAAATGCAGGTTATTGAATGACAGAAAATGTTCAATGTATCTGAAAATCAAAGAACCTTGCAAGATACTTTTTTTTCATTTGTCTTTGCAAATAATCTGCATAAATTACGTTTCATATGAGAACAAACCCAATTCGGTTAGAAGAGTTGTACGAAAAGTACCCATCGAAATACCGACTATATATTATTATATCAATCCACCAATCTCAACAAATATTTCATCGATAAAAAAAAACGGATTGTGATAATATCATCATAGATGTATTTGTTGTTAGAATCAGTGTGTTTCTTCACAAGCTTAGATTATTCGTGACCTCAAAAGAAGGATTTTGTATCTACGATTCCCATTTTTGTACAAAGACTGAATAAATTCTCTGTCCAATAAGACGAGGTAGTCGATCTTTCAGTTCAGCTAGGGATATAGTAATGTAAAGTATACACACATCAAAAGGTCTGACATTACTGTAAAATCAAAAATGATTGCAATTAAAGATTTCAATACGGATCATTAGAATTTTAAGGAATCGATATCTAATTCTATACTTTATTTTTCATGACTTAATAACAGTTACACCTGCCATACATGTGGGAGGTTTAGCTTGCTATAAAACTATGTTTAACTTACAATTTTCATCGGAAAATGTCTGTACCAAGTCAGGAATGTGGCAGTTGTTTTTCCCTTGTTTCTTTGATTGATAGCGTTTGATTTTGTCTAATGGACTTCCCCTTTTTGAATTGGCTTTGGAGTTCGGTATTTTGTTATACACATGTACTTTGTTCTCATAATAACTTTCTTTTAGAAATGTTGAACCATTGAATTGGAAAAAAACACATTTTAAATTAAAGATTGATCATGCAATATGTCGTCATTTTGTTTATAAGAATAGCACAGTCATTTAAAATCAAAAATGGTGGCCATCACTTATTTATATGTTCCAGGTATCTTAAACGTCTGACAAAAATATGTTACACATTTTGTTGATCAAACACATATTTACTCTCTTACTGTTGAAATACAAAAACTGTTTTAGTCAGATTTGAGTTTTACACAAACGTCTGACAAAAATATGTTACACATTTTGTTGATCAAACACATATTTACTCTCTTACTGTTGAAATACAAAAACTGTTTTAGTCAGATTTGAGTTTTACACGTCATAAGGCTATGTAGTGAAAGGTCAATATAAATACTAATCTATCTAAGGAAGTATCACCTTACAGCACTCACCTGTTTATCCTGTATGAAGTATCATTAACCAAATCTTTTTATTCATCCCACCTAAACAATCATTCTACACATTTAGTCTGTCGAAGGATTTCAATGAAGTTAACATTACAGACGGAAAGTTTATGTGTGCTCAATCTTATGTGCACACGTAATATAAAAGCCTAAACTTTAAATAAACAAAACCCATGTATTATCGATCTGTTGCATTTAAAGTAATAAGATATCTCGAATAGACATTATATAAAAACTTCCTGATAAAAACCATTTTTAAAGGTCGTGTATTGTCATAACACCAATTATGCTTATACGTTTTCTGTCTTGTTTTATTTGACAAACAAATTTTTCTTCAACTTCCAGCAAGTGCATGGATATAGACATTAAATCTACATAGATACACCCCCCCCCCCCCCCCCCCCATAATTAGGTTCGTTTTGAGAATGACTAAACTTGATTAAAATGAAACATACGGACATAATAATATCGAAAATATTGCACTTAGAAAAACTGAACAATGTGAATAGGAAAAGTGTCCTGTCATCAATACCTTTATAGGAACGTTGTAAACACTTTACTTGTATACCTTCATCCTGAATGTTCAACAGAGTGTATAAGCATTTTATTAGCTCAATGTGTTAGATATCAACATTGTCACTTTAAAAGAATTCCCCTCGAATAATTTTTAGCAGTATATGTTGACATTGCATAGTGTTGTCTATTGCCTGTATTAATTATCTCTACATTATTGAGTCATAAACATGTTTATGGTAGTGATTTTTTTTCTTTCATCCATTTTAATATTTTGAAAAGAAAAGGTATGTGAATTTTAATTCTGATGTAACACTGGTGTGTTTCATTTTCTAAACATATCGCAGTCGTTCTGTGTACATTTGAGCAATTTTTTCCAGTTTTCAAACTTATATTGCAAGAGGCTTCGACTACTTTTTGATATAAAAATTTGCAATCATTTTGTATTAAGGATTATATCTCCCTCATGTATATAACTTAATATCTATGTTCAGGTTTGAGTTCACTTTTTAGTCTTTCTTTTGGACTTATCAGGTCTTCAAAGTTTGTATAAACTTGTGGATTTCAAAATCCCACATAGTTAGAAATACAAATAGTTACACTATTACTAACACAATTCTATATTAAAATATTTCATACAACGGAATTTAAAAGTTGTCTAACAATACATCAAGGAGGATGATATTTCGTATTGTTAACATACTCTATAACAATATATTAACAAATCCGTGGCGCGGGGAAGTAGTCAAGAAGACAATATTATTTTTCAGGGGTTGACAGGATACACGTAATCGTTATTAGTTTAAACTTCAAGGTTCTTATGCAAGCAAATGTAATACACAATGATTTTATACAGTTTTTTTTTTTTGGTTTACACTTTACATAGGGCTTTATTTCTGATCTTATTTTTGTGTGCACAATTCTGATTCTACGTATTTCACCTTTATCAATATTAGGAAATCTGTTTGGACGATTCCATATACCATTATGTTTTAGGATTTTTTAGATTCAGTGTCGAGTTAATGTATATTATTTAGCGATCTCTGCGAGAACTAAATCATTTTTCTGATAAGGTAACTAAATTCAAAACCAAAATAAATGTAGTTAAAATTGAGAATGGAAATGGGAAATGTGTCAAAGAGACAACAACCCGACCAAACAGCAGAAACCAGCCGACGGTCACCAATGGGTCTGCAACACAGCGAGTAAATCCCGCAACCGGAGGCGGTTAACATATATATTTTATTTAAATGTGTAAATTGATCGGAATGTGAATGACAACATAGACCTAAAACTCTGTTTGGTCTATCCCGTTTAACACATGACATTTGCGCGGGAACTACTTCCACTGACATCGTCATATAATTGAATTTGGATTATTGTAATGTGATGTAAATTGTTTTTGGATGTAATGTGATAGGATTTAATGTGATATCATTTGTTTCTTCTTCTATAGTACATAATTTGACGTCAGTTTTGTACACATTAAGTCACTAGTATAGTCAGAACTTAAGTAGATGTACAGCATATCCCATCATATTTCAACCAACAAATACACCTGATTTACACTACAACTGTTAAATAGACCTTTATGTATATACATTTATTCTAATTCCAGTCCATTCAACTGGCAAAATCAACAGAATCAGTGTACATTTTGCGAATTCTATTTCTCGAATTCTACGTCTTTCACCTTTATAAAAATCGGTATGGACGATTCCATATACCAATATATTTTTAGGGGTTGTTTACATTCAGAGTCGAGTTATTGATGTATGTTACTTCGTGTTTTTTTTTTTTTTTTCTTTTTTTTTTTTGCGAAAACAACTTAATTTCCTGATGAACTTCCTTAACACAGAAACATTATATTTAGTTAACGCTTTCTTGGTATTTTGCTGATTCAAAATGACCTAAATATTAAAGAAGTATAGCCCTGAAAATGGTATATCCCGTTTTACACATGACATTTACGCGGAAAGAAAGACTTCCTTCTTCTACTTCTACTTCTACCACTAAGTGACATTAGGTTGACTTTCCTGTCACTGTTTGGTGTGCGCTTCCATTGGAATGAATCACCATTGCGACAATTAAATTGATTTTGCAATGTAATTTATTGACTGTCTTTTAATTTGATCTCCTACCAATACAGTCATTCGAGTAGAACATTAATTATCAACACTTGATGTCGAGTTAATCCACAATTTGGAATGTATATATAATATAGTTATACTGTTCCCAGATGGACTATAATCTTTATTATTTATTGAAAATAAGTGGATCAATCCTTTAGAAAAGTTGTTCCGAATATAATGAACCCCCCTCCCCCTTTATAAGTTAAAAAGGCTACATTTTCTATTTTCATTTTTTACAACAGCAACATAAGGGATATCCCTCATATTTTTTGTTTGGGGGGGGGGGGGGGGGGGTGTTCGCAAATTATTGCTTAGTTGTAAATTAGGCCATAACTTATCTCAATTGAATTGTTGCATACTTTTCATGTCGGGACTGTTTGCAGCCGACAAGGGTTTTCCTCATTTTTGAAGGCTGTATAGTTGCCTATAGTTGCTTTGTCATTTGAGTTTCTGTGCATATTTCTCATTGGCAATCATACCACATATTCTGATTTTTATATCGATTGCAGACCTAAAAACGATGTATAAAGTTAAATATGCTGCAAACTTCAAACAACCTACTACAACTGATTTACCATAAAACTGTTGAGCAGAACTATAACTATTTGATCTCATTCCAGTCCTTATACCAATTAACAGAACAAATGCAAATAATTATGATGTCATGAAAGCTTTTTGAATAAATCATATCAATATAAACTGTATCGCAATATAAACATTTTTGGCTCTTTTACAGTCGACTATACAGTATGGGGTTTTCTCATTTTTGAAGGCCGTATGGTTGCCTATAATTGCTTACATCCACTTTATTTGAACTTTGGCGAATAGTTGTTACTTATATAAATAAATCCCACGTCGATATTACATGTACATCAATCGGACATCAACCCAACGCCAAACTGAATGTATTGAAAGACATCTAGAGGTCAAAATACAGTCTCGAACAATAGACAAAATTAAAAAAAATCCAGCGAATTATAGAAAAGAGTTATTATTATTTGTATTTGCAAGATTAAAAATATATCTTTTAAAATTTTTTGAGTTTTAGAAACCTACCAGAAAACTGTGATCTCATTGCGGCTAGTCTGTAAAAAGGATGTCAATTAAAGAAGCCAATACTTTATGGACATTGATTTAAAAATAACAAATAGCCGTCTATTAAGGGGGTATTTAATTGGTCGTAGATTTGGAATCTTATTTTATTATAAGCACTTGGAAATCAATGCAATAGGTGTCTCCTCCATGACAGTCTTGAACATTAAAACTAAATATTGAATAAACAACACTGCTAATGTTTAGTGTTTGGCTAAGGATGGCTGTCATTGTGCAACACAGTTTAATATAGAACCCCATGGGAAAAAACAGAGAACTCCTTTTGTCAGAAAACACTGTCAAACATCTAAACATACTATCCACACTGATCTGTGTCCACACTTGTTGTATAATAAAGTTTTTTTTTTAATTCTTCCCATAAAACGCGTCTTATTATGATATCGCACGTTTGAGTTATTAAGGAGTTTGTCATATTTATATATAATTACTTAAGAAAACCATATATCTACACATGGTAAAAATAACAGACAACATCATTATACCTTAATATCCGATTTTTGCATTTGTCCAGATCCTGTTTTGTTAAATCATCTTTTCAATGTTTGTATTCAAATGTGGAATTTCATAAAATATTTATCCAAGACAATAACTGGAAAGATATTCGTTTACTTTCGCAGTTGGTATAGTAAAATGTGTATCGTTTATATATTTACTCTGCTTTATATCCCCGATGGTAATACCAGCTAAGTAGTCAGTTCATCGGATACAGATATTGTTTTATTAAATTGTTTTTTTAGATAAAAAAACTTGGCTGAAACCTCGATTAAGTCTCGGCTATACAATAATCTTGTCATGCTTAAGATGTTTTGTAAATTGTAAAATGTAGCTAGAAAACAATGCAGCTGGAAGACTTCCCGTTATCTTTATTTATCAAATATAATAAGAAAGTGATCTTTCGTGCAATGATTTATTTTTGTGCTAATATTTTCTTAACTATGATGCTGTAGCTTTTTAAGCTGTAGAATTTTAACAAATTTAGGTCAATACCAGAAAAATAACAACTTTTTTGTAAGCCTCAATTAAGTACATTTTGTAGTTAACCGATGTTCATATCAAAAATAAATAGATCGATCGATTACGACGATAGAACGCAAACAAATAAAGATTCCATGTAAAAACTAAAGAATTCGCATGATCTCCAAAAAGGGTACGACTGAGCATGTTCAGAAGGTAAGCGTCTTCTGCTTTAAAAAAGAGAAAAATCACAAAAATACTGAACTCCGAAGAAAATTCAAAACGGAAAGTCCTTAATCAAATGGTAAAATCAAAATCTCAAATACATCAAACGAATGGACAACAACACTCATATCCCTGACTTGGTACAGGCATTTTCTTATGTAGACAATGGTGGATTAAACCAGGCCATTCTTGTGTAAAAAATTTGTAAGGGTTCCGCGGAACCCAGTGTCTCGTCTATTTTTGCTGTTATTCGCAGGCTCAACAATAATGGGGAAATAATTATCAAAAATTTTCCTCTAGATACTATCTTTTGAATATAAGTTTGGTAAGAATCTAGGATGGTTTATGAATCTAATAAATGTTTTAAAAACTTTAACTGCAGACTGTATGTATTGTTAACGGGAAGAAAAACTAAGTCCATTTATAAGTAATATACGGAAAAACAGGATTTTT